TTTGCCTATTTACCACTGTGAACAAAAAATAGTAAGACTTTGTTCTTAATTTTAAAATTCTGAATTTATTCTCAAAAATCTTTGTTGTCCCCCTTGGCCCCAATATACTTGTGCCAACGTTTAATTTTACCAGCCGTTTAAGTCAATTTCCGGAATAGCCTTCAATGCGAGTAGCGATTCACGTTTAATGTCTTCAATTGACTCAAAACAGTTTCCTTGGAGCGGTCGTTTGAGTTTTCTAAAAAACTCACGAAGACTTGTCGCCCCTCTATTACTTCCTTGTTGACAGTTTGACCGATCGGAAGAAATTCGGAGTGCACCACACCCCGATAAACGAAGAAAACTGTCAACATAACCATGATTTTTGACCTGCCTTGACGTGGTGGTGGTGGACCACAATATTCGGTCGACTTATCATCTGTTTTCGGATCGTAAGCATAGATCCAAGACTCATCGACAGTAGTAATAAGTTTCATGACAGCCTGATAGTCGGAAAACATTGTTTCACAGACGTTAACGCGACGCTGTTTTTCGAAAAAATTGAGGGATTTTGGAACCAAAAGTTTCAAAATGGTTTTCATTAATCCTACAGATAGTCCAACAATGCCAATAAGATCTTTTACTGTTAATTGTCGATTCTCAAGCAACAATTGCTTTACTTTATTCACGTGTTGGTCATCACTTGGACGTGGTTCGTAGTTTGCTTGCCCGCAGCAAATAGTTATCGCCGAAGGCCTTTTCTACCAATTCGAACGTTTAGTACCAGAAATTTTATTCCACACACAAATTTTAGTGGAACTTATTTCTTGAATAATTTCACTGAACGTAAAACTCGCTGAATGCACTTTAGGTACTTCAGAAAGATAAGCGTATACTAAACACTTATGATAATTTCGATGTAACCATTGGCAAAGATGTAACTGACAGTCAGACCTAGAACAAAAATTTCGACGAAGGTTCTTACTATTTTTTGCCCGCGGTAGTAATTATTTATTTTAATATTTTACCAATATAATATTTAATGATTTAGATTGGTGCAGTAATTGTCGGGACACACAACTCTGAGTAATTTTATATTCGGAAAATATAATATAATATGTACAGTAATATAAATATATAACATATACATTCCATGATGTCAGAGAAGTAGGCATGACGCAATAGAGTCTTGAAAGACCCAATTTTTTTGTGGGTATCTCGTATTTGCGAGGTATGAATTGATCTTGTTCCACAAAAAAAAAAATATGCTTCAAGTTTTAAGACTTAAATATTGGAGTTCGATGGTGAGTCAGCTGCAGAAAATATTATATTTAAATATATGCAAATATATGTATGAAACTTCATTTTAAGACATACATATGTAGACTGGAGGCAATCTATGGAATTTGTTTTCAGAAATATTGGCATTTAAGTATCTGACCTTTAGGCTTTTGAGTCTAGATTGAACTGAAAATAAAGCTATCGGCTTGATTCATAAGTTATATAGACATGCGTCATTGATATTGTTATATAAAAATCGTTAAATATATTTATATAAAATAGAAACACACGCCGTATCTGCTACTCTATTATAAACAAAATTATGTGTAAAAATCTATAAGATAAGAATTTAACTGCCTTAGTTGTGATTCACTGCACTATCACCTTCTAACATTACGCTTGTTGGGTAATGTTGCAAATTTCTAACTGTCAGATAATGAAGTTTTGTTTAAAGGTGAATTGCAATTTTGTTATTCTTATTTGGCATGTATGTGATAACCTTGTTAAATGAAAGTTCAAAACACTTTAATCTATCAAAAATGTACATATATATKTATTTTTTATACGTGTACTATAAAGGAACAAATCAGTTTATTAAGAAACTAACTAACGTTATTACAAAACTATAAACAGGTTGAGATTGATACAGCGGCATGCGTGTCGAGCGCATATATATATTATATTATATGTATTATAAAAGATGCACACGTTGCTAATGATTTTGAAATAAAACGAGAAAAAAAAACGTTAACTTCGCTATCATAAAGCGATAATACCCGTCACAGGTGCATTTATTATAGCATAAAATGGCATAAAAAGGTCGTTGGCTTACAAATATGCTTTAGGTGCCCGATCTGAAGAATTTGTTCGCAAGTTGTAGCGCGACTTTGGAAAATAATTCATTTTGTGGAGATATCTTGTCAACAATTGTTTTTTCATAGTTCTTCTTCTTCATTGGCATAGACACCGCTTAGGTGGTTATAGCCGAGTGTACAACAGCGCGCCAGTCGTTCTTCCTTTTTACTGTTTGGCGTTAAATTGGAGATTCCAAGTGTAGCCACGCCCTTCCCAACCTGGTCTAACGGAGTGGAGGTGTTCTTCTTCTTCTGCTTCCACCCGCTTATACTGTGAGGAATACTATCAGAGCTGGAGTTTTTTCGTCCATCCGGACAACATGACCTTGCCAGCATAGCCGCTGTCTTTTAATTCGTTGAACTATGTCAATGTCGTCGTATACATATCTCATACATCTCACCGTTCCATCGACCATAAATCTTTCGCAGAATTTTTCTCTCGAAAACTCGCAACGTCGACTCATCAGTTGTTGTCATCGTCCAAACCTCTGCACCATATAGCAGGACGGGAATAATGAGTGACTTTTAGAGTTTTGTTTTCGTTCGTCGATGTTGATATTAATGCTRGTTCCAAGATAGACGAAATCATCTAYGACTTCGAAGTTATGACTGTGAACAGTGACGTGGGAGCCAAGTCGCGCTGCTTGTCTGTTTGATAATAGGAGATAATTTGTCTTTGCTTTATTCACTACCAGGCCCATTTGCTTCGCTTCCTTACCTTGTCTGGAGAAAGGTTGTTGAGGCCAATGATATAAATACATCGGCGCACCGCAACAGTTGTACATAAAGGCAGCTCCTTTTCGTGCTGTCAAAGCAACTTTAAATTCACCGAACAGGTGGTGAGTGTCGATCCTCTTTTCACGTGTTTTTTCCAAGATTTGAGGCACGAAGAATATCTGGTCAGTTGTTGATCTACCATATGTGTACTTGAAGGCTACTTTTAGTTCGCTGGGTGCTATATAAGGTGTATGCTGATAAGCATGAAGTGCAATGCTTATTGAAAATTAATTTACTTATGTATGCGTGTTTAGTCATATGATGTTCCAATTTTTTTCATTTGCAGTTTCGCTGTACAATTGCGGCTGTAACTTCAAATGCGAATGCGGAATACAAAACATTAATCAATTGCCCTCAATGTCAATAAAATATCATTTTTTTTAGTCTTTTTTACTAACATCATTATGAACTACAATGTGCTCGTGTATTTTCATATGTACATACCATACATCCAAATCTGATATAGGGCTAACCGGTAACGTTTTCAAATCATATTCACCTTTRATGTGAGGCGAAGGAAGGAAGCAAGGAAGATACATTAGTTGATCTCGAATTTCATTCAAATCTGTCAAATAATTTGTGAAATATGAAACTTTCTCGATAATATAACTTTTAGTGGACTGTTATCCGATTTTACCCATTTTCACATCTGGCTTTGTAACGATAAAAATTAATATTTCCGAAAAGTTGTTTCAACAAAAATTTAGTAGATGTCGACGTACGGAAAATTTTTATAGTAACGAAGCCACGCCCACTTATGAAAAAAGTTGTGATCTACAATCTAAATGTACATATGTATGAATGTACATAAATAATAAAGTTCTCTGTCATTAATCGCATCAGCAATAAATAACACTTACACTAATGTTCTTAGCAATTTGTTATAGAGTGAGATTACAATTTCAGAAGTTTTGTAGTAATGTAACGTTATAATTTTTAAGTTCATCAAATTCTTCTTCATAGACAATCTATGTATGTCATTTGCATACAAATAGGAAAGGGCAAAATAAGCGTTCATACTTAATCCTGCCATAAGCTCTGTTACAAGTTGAAACCATTACAATAATGAAAAATGCCGTTAATATTATTTAATAAAGCACACATATGTATGTTGTATGTAGGTTGCCTTTTATATTTCGGGATTCGGCAACACCAGTGTTACAATCAGAAACTCAAAATTTTATCGTAAAATGGTGGTATGCATATTCAGAATGTTTTACGATATGAGTGCTATTTATGTTGTTTATAGTAACTTAAAATATTCAAGAAATGGAATTAAATCAGGAACATCTTGAAACGATTATTTTTAACAAYGTGAATTAACACATTAGGAGTGCGTCCATGAATTCAATTTTTGACGATGAAGCTCCATCAAAGACCAATGTTTATCGATGGTATGGTGAATTCAATCGGAATCCAAGACGAATTTTGAGAATGTCGTCAAAAATTACTTGTTGTTCCGGAAACTATGGATGCTGTGCGCAAATATTTCAAGACCTATCGTCACTGTAGAAAAAATTGTTCACGTTGGATCCCACTCAATTTATCAATCGCTCATAAAAAGACTCGTATCCACTGGCCGAGAAAAATGTTACCAAATTAAAATAGCGGTGCTTCGAAACACATCTATGACACCGTGACAGGTGATGAATTTATCTCGAATAAGTCTTGACATTAAACTGGTTGATATATATATTTGGATGGACATTATTTTCTATTTAAAAGAGAATGTCTGCGAATGCCTTCGCGAATAGTTTTTATGGTTGATTTGATTCTAACCACAAAAGTACGACCACTCCCCTTTCTGTCATCAACTGTAGACGTTTGAAAAAAAAAAACGATCAATAGTGCGATAAGGAAATATTCTCAAAATATTTAGTTATTTGAGAACCTCAGAAATTCCACTTGCGCTTTTTATACACTTAAATATATAAAGCAATCTCACAATATGATTGTCTTTATCTCAACCATTTAGCTGTCAAATCTACTCTTGAAATTATGGTAGCGAACGTATGTAAAACGTATTAAATAAAAATACTACCTTTTGAAGAAGCTAAAGCGAAACCCAGACAAAAACAAAAGCTTTCAACAATCAGCTGTTGCGGATAAATGATTACCAAAGCATTCCATTCTTTTGTTTATTAACTTCATTGATAAAAAGTGGATTCAGTTGTAAACTTTCATTTTGTGAAATTCTGTTAAAAAATGTTGTCATCACGGAGTTTATCGCTATCAGTAATCACAAAACAATTATATTTTAATACCATCAAGAAAGGGTTTAGCACAGGAGTCAGTGATAGCGGCGCTACAAAACGAATTTGTATAGTCGGCGCCGGACCGGCAGGCTTTTATGCTGCACAATATATATTGAAACATCTTAGTGACTGTGCCGTGGATTTAATTGAAAAATTACCAGTGCCATTCGGCTTGGTTCGGTAAGTGTAACCTGTGACGTTAGCTTTGCGGCAAAAACAAGAATAATTATTTATGTTAATAAAAAAATTGTTGATTAAAAAACATCTTAAAATAGGGTATTTCATTAAATTTACAATATTTATATATTAAACAAGTTTTTTCGTAWAATTTTTACTTGTTACTGTTTTTCACCTTGGGATCAATAAAATATTAAATTGAGTGTTCAAACACTGTGGAGAAAGTAGCTAGTGTTTGTAGRTAAATAAATTTGTACATATACACATTATACCGTGAACAAATCATGTATAATAAGTAAAGCACGAAGTTTGTWACATCCAGAAGAAAACGTCGGAAAACCACAATTTTGAAGTATCATTCTAAACTTTGATAAGCTGATAATTTGCCCTACATATCTTGTTGTTTATAAACACTGATCGTCTAAGAAAAATATACATTTTTATTCTAAAGCTAATCGGTAAATTCTGTTACCCTGCTTAAAATATTTCACTTATAGTTACGGCGTTGCGCCCGATCATCCTGAGGTGAAAAACGTAATCAATACTTTTAATAAAACAGCAGAGCATAAAGACTTCCATTTTTACGGCAACATAGCATTAGGCAAAGATATAAGCTTAGAAGACTTGCGTAAGCGTTACCATGCCGTTCTACTCACATATGGAGCTGATCAAGATCGACAGTTGAATATACCTAATGAGGATCGAACGAATGTGCTGTCTGCACGTAAATTTGTGGCGTGGTATAATGGTCTACCTGGCGCACAACATCTGAATCCCGACCTGAGCGGAAATACTGTAGCTATTTTAGGGCAAGGCAACGTAGCGGTGGATGCGGCTCGTATGCTGCTCAGCTCATTGGATGCATTGAGGGTTGGTAATAAAGTTAATATCATAATATATAATATTTTAGCGTGTTCAAAATATTTAGAAAACAGATACTACTGAGTATGCGCTGGAAGCGCTTTCGCGAAGCAAAGTACAGCAGGTTTATTTGGTTGGACGACGTGGCCCACTGCAAGCCGCTTTTACCATAAAAGAATTGCGCGAGATGCTGAAATTACCAAATGTGCAAACCTTATGGAAACCGGATGATTTTACAGGCAACTAACTTGAATTTAMATTTTTAAACCATAACCATCAAAACCAATTGTTATTTATAGATGTACCGGAACAATTACTTAATCTGCCACGCCCACGTAAACGTCTAACTGAATTGATGTTGAAAAGCTTGTCGGAACAGGCTGGTAGCAGTAGTGCTAAAAATAAACGTTTCTTACCAATATTCTTGCGKGCGCCAAAAGCAATTGGCGAAAATGAAGTTGAATTGACTGTTACGAAGCTGCAAAATGACATGGCCGTTCCAACTGATCAAACCGAACATCTGCAAACTGATTTGGTGCTACGAAGCATAGGCTACAAATCTACTTGCGTCGATGGTGGCATATGTTTCGATGAGCACAGTGGACGTGTRCACAATGAGAATGGTAAATACGCTTAAAAGCTCTCACACATATTTATTATAACTGTTATATACTTTTGGCGAAGGACGCGTTTTGTGTGATGCTGTTAGTAAAATGGTAGATCCCGGCATATATGTAGCAGGCTGGTTAGGTACGGGCCCCACAGGTGTTATTCTCACAACTATGAATGGAGCCTTTACCGTTGCGAAAACAATATGTGATGACATTTTGTCGAATAAGTTGGATACTAGCACGGCCAAAGCGGGTTTGGACACGAAGCAATTGCAACGTGTTGTAACATGGACACATTGGCAACGCATCGATGAAGCTGAAACTCAAGCTGGTAAAGTGTTGGGGAAACCACGCGAGAAGTTAGTGGATGTGGAAGAAATGCTTAAGGTGGCAGGGCTGTAAATTCTAGAAAATATCTTAGAATATAAGTAAAAAGTATGAAAACAATTTATATTTTTCTATTTCACGACATTTATCTATTTATAATTGTTAAAAAAAAAAATCTATGAATTTGTTGAAGTCAAAAAATAGTTTTGTAAAAAATTGTATGAAAAAGAACAAATGTATGAAGAATAGAACGAAAAATTAAAAGTGGTGTAGAAAATTTGTAAAAAATAGCATAGAAAAATATTCGGCAAAATAAAATTTGCAGTGATTTTGAAAAAAATAATATAAGTTTAAATAAATTAAGCAGTTATCATGGAATTGGTTATTACCCCAGAACCGCATTACATTCCTGGGTGAGTTATTCTTAACGCTAAGGTCACTTCGGATATAACATGATATTTTGTATTAATTACTAATAGCTATACTGGTCATTGTCCACAATTTCGTTTTCGTGCGGGTAAAACATATGGAAAATTAACGCATAAATTGCTGATCGATCCCTGTGTCATACATGCACCCGAATTAATTGTGACACCTTCAAATCGTGCACCAATTTCATTGGTGTACCCGACTACACTAGAAACAGAGCTCCTGGATAGACGTGAAAAATATGTGGATCCCGTTTATCGTAATCCCATAATTCCCGGTTATGATGGGTTCGTACCAAATCTGGCATCCAAAGTTGGCAAGCGATACATTGCTGCSGCCACAGCTGGTATGGCTGAACATGAACTACTAATGGATCAGTTACGTTGCGAACGCAGAAACTTGATGCATCGAGATCTTTTGGGTAGTGGATWTGGTGTGTTTGAAAATAAAATGAACGAACGCATGGTGAGCGATATGCCAATTGTATTGAAAACAAATTATGTGTGAAATTATATGTTTTAGCTACCTTATACACATTATCGTTCGCCATTGATGGCGGTGAATGCGCGTTCGAAAGCCTTTAAAAAATTGGACTGTAGTTTTATGGAGAAGAAAGAGCCATATTCCAAATCGACTGTACCACATTTCATGGAAAACGATGATGAGGAGAAATATATTCTTAATGGTATTATATTTTTAGCTTTAATACACTATACAGTGTATACTGTGTATTTTTTTTTTTTTTTTGTAATCCAACCTGACTTTATTTATAAATTTGGTTGTCATTAACAACGTTCACCAACTGACACACTTCAGAGCAAAAATTTAACCGATATAYTACAAATGTTGAATTTCTTTAGATAACTTATTGCAATATTAATTTGGACAATAATCGATCCAACAAATTCACTTACTTAAATTCAAGTCCATAAATTTTTAACGTGTAAAGTTTTAGTTTGTATTAAATAACATAATACATTGAAATGTCGTATTCCACGCGTAACTGCAACTTACGATTATTTGAATTTTATTCTAAACCTTCACAATATTTTATTTTTATCTTTATTAGGTTACGGTGGTCATATACCAATGGCGTTGACACGTTTTGGCGAAACTAGCAAACAGTTGACTAACAGCGCACTATGTGAGTTCACCAATAATTACCATCATAGAAGAAGTGCTGAGTGGTGTCCACAAGAAAATGCCGGTATTGGGAGTTCATGCCCGAATACTGGTCACTTTGTTATCTATCATCGTACAATTGGAATGGTGCCCAAATATGCAGGTCACGTACCAGGAGAAACTTTCACATTCGGGCGTACGTTTGGTGATGCTACTGTAGATGCAAAGCATTGGCTGGCACTACATAAGGACTAATCAAATAACTATGATTCGTGCATATGAAAACAAAAATAAAAAATTGCAATTTCTGTAAATAGTCCATTTTGTAGTTTGTGATAGATATTATTTCTGTTGTAAATTAAGTACTTAGTATACAATGTATGTACATTAAAATAAGAAAAAATTAACAGTTTTAAGTATATATAAAAGTTACGAGTTTTATTCGTAGAGATTGAGCTTTTCTTGTAAGCTAGCAATTTCCCTCAACAACTTATTGTTATCTTGCTGATATTTAAATTGCTTTTCCTTTATTGCGTCAATGAGTCGTTGCTGTGCAGCGCTGTTTAAACATAAACAACATTTGAGTAATGGTGTGCACAAATAATAATTATTATTGGTTATAGATAAATGAATCAAAAAAATCAAAACGCTTTAGCTCTACTGCGATTATAACCAACATTGCCAGTGATTTGATTTATATAATAAACTATATTGTAAGACACTTACCTTATTTCCGCTTTTATCGCTTCAAGTTTGTTTACTTCCTCTTGCATTGCTCTTAGTTTGTCTTCTAAAACTTTATTTTTGTCCTCKGTTGTTTTCTCAACAACATTTAGTTCATTTTTGACATTTGTAGTAAGTATTCCAAGTGTGTTTAGTTTATCCATCAACTGCTGCTGTGGCTAAATATAAGAGTAATATTGAATTTGGTTGACTTTATCTAGTTGTACAGTGTATTACCAAAAAAATTAATTCATCTGCTCCAAGCGATTTTTGCATTTGTTGTTCTAATGTGAACCGCCAATCTTTATAATCTTTATGAAAACGCTCTARCAATTCATTAATTCTTTGTCCACCCAACTGAAAAGTGCCAAGTTCGCTTTGCATTCGTTTCGATAATTGCTGGGGCAAAATTTCGTCCTCGTTTTTGCCATGTGTAATTGCAAATATGTCTCTTAAATATTTTTCCTTTAAAACCTGCGAATCTTTTTTTGAGTTTCTCAATTTATCGCAGGATGCTTCCAACGTTGAGATTTCACTAACCTATAAATATTAATAGTAAAACTGATAGTAATTAAATTGCAGAATATTCCGTTTACCAACTGAGAAATAAAATTCTGAAGAAACGTCTCAACCAGTGTATTGTCCACTATTTCAACATTATTTTTAATAAGTTCAATGTAAGGAAATCTTGGGAAATCCATTGTAAACTTGAATTCAATAATTTTTATTAAACATCTGTTATTCTAACGGAAGCGGAAACCAAATGTAGTCCAGTATATAAAATGTATAGAAATATATATAATTCATATATAAAAGTATACAACAACAGTTGTTTAAAATAGCAAGTGTTGCCAATGCACCAAGAAACTAAAAACACACAAAACACTAGTTCGTACTGTCCTCACTAAAAATTATCATAGATTCCCCACTAAGAATTCGCTGCATGTAGATGCAGAGAACGTTCTCTGGTAGATGTATAAAGGAATAGTAAACGAAGAAAGCAAACGCAAAAGTGGAATGTGAGTGGACCAATATAGAAATTTCAACATAGTTTGTGTTGAACAATACGGGAGTGATGCAGTTATAATAATAATTCAATAGATCTGTGCACGTCTTCTCTAAAATAAAGTTTGGTGCGTGATGAAATGGTGAGCGGTTCACGTATTAGTTAAAAGTGGACTTATTTACAATTTGCTAGTGTCCCAGAGGTACAATAAAATGAAAATTTACATTTAATAGGTACAAACACGTAGAGAAATTAAGTTAAGTGCGTTTTTATCTGTACCTGCTGCAATTGGCCAGAGAAGGTGAAGTGGATGAAAAAAAGCGTAATACAAACCAAAGTGAAGGTGCCAGTGTTGCATATATATACATACAAAGAAAGTGAAGTAGCGACATAACGGCGGTAAATTATCATTGGTAAACAATGTCGCATTATCTGAATAATAATACAAAAGATAGCCTACAAAAGTACAGTATTTTGTCGGTAAATAAAGTTTACTTATGCTATATTTGCAGGGAAAGTGGAAATTAARGTATAATCGCTTTTGAGCACTCGAATCAGAGAACTTAAAAAAAAAATGCTTTAAGTTCTCTGATTCAAATGGGTATGTGTGGGAGTGTGTAATTGTGTGTAACAAGCGGTTGCATATATTGTTGTCTCACTTGCGCGAGCACTTGTTTACGTTTGCATCGTCATTAGATTTGCAAAATGTTAAAATCTCTTMACGAATGCATCGTAGAGAGAGAAACGTAAAATAAATATAATAGTTTAGAAAGAAGATGGCAAAATATTGATGATTGTATTTGTCTAAATTGAAAATCGTTAGAATGTGTGAAACAGAGTGCGGAGAAAGGCGGTAAATAAGTGCTATATTATTTACAACTGGAATAACAGGTTTGCTATAGAGTAATTTTTAATAGTATGAAATTAGATAATAAAATATGCTCTAAAATAAATCCGAAATGAAGTGAAAATTGTTCTTATGTTTTGAATTATTGATGGTTTTTAGGCTTTGCATTTTTTATACCCTCAACTAATCGCATTGTTTCAATTGAATCCAAAATTGTTTAGCAGGTTAGAACGGATTAGAGTTTGTTTTTAAGGTATTAATTTAAGAACTTCAACATTTCGCTTAAAATATTACTAAACTCGTTGTATTATTAAATTATTTTGGAAACATTGTGTAGAACAGAATGATTTTTTAGGTTTACTCAACTTTTACTCTAAATATTGGAATCGAATATCAAGCGAGCAACATGACATTAGAAACATATTATAAAAATATGTGTGCTAGAAAATATAATCGCAGAAATTTTCATAAAACAGCTTGTAATATAATGACCTTAAAAACACAATGAATTCATTATACTGAGTATATTCTGTAAAATAGTGTTTTAATTAAATCCAAATTTATATTTTTGATTCAGGATCTTTAATGTTTTAAATAGATAAATTTCGACCACTACTAACAAATGCAACCCTACGTACAAGGAAAGAGAAAACAAAGCACGTAAACTTTATTGTATGTCGTACTTCGTCCGCTACACTACAATTTAACGTCGTTGCAGCGAAAATTTTTGTTGCGCTGATATTCTTAAGAAACGTGAAAAATTATATTGTGAAARCAACTATAACTCTTTGCTAAAGTTGATTTTCTAATAAAATTTAGTGCGAATAGCTAAAATGTGAAATTTATATAGTGAAAAATTTGTGATCCTAAAAAAAAACGGAAAAATTTTCCAACCTGCGAGAACCGCATACGCGGTACATTATATATTTCCATCTCTTTTGTGCAAATGTTATCTTTCCCATCCGAAGCTCACGTAGAATGGTATCTAGTGAGCGACCATAAGTGGGACCAAGAAAGATTTATATGCGAATTGGAATAAATATATCATTGAAAAGAGATAAACAGTTCTGCTAGTCGAAGGCGCGAAAAACTCGAAACTAAAAGAACAGAAAAAATAAACCAAAATTGCAACTTTTATATTATAAAAATATATAATAATTAATATATGTGATAGTACAGTAAACGTTGAGATTACAGTTAAAAAATTKTGGTTTGTGTTTGTCTGCAGTTTGTCGGACTAAAAGGCCAAAGAAATGCATTTTTACGCCTGCTGTGAAAGAGTTGAAAATATGTAATTGTTACGAATGAGACGATGTAAACAATGAATAAATAAGAAATAATACAACAGCGAATTAATAAAGTGGCACCGAAAAACAAAACATAAGCAGGTGAGAACCGACAAGTCCGTACACACTTGAGGGTAAACAAAGGAAGAGATATGCACAATATTCYGATTTCACAATTTATTAAAGTGGATAAAAATTGTATATGATGATTAATTAACTTTTAAATAATTACAATTATACAAAATTTATATATTTGTGTGTTTTTAGCACAAAAAATAATTTGAAAATGGAAATAGAAAAAAGGCAGCTTGAACCGAGCAATTGTAGTGGAGATGCAGGAATAACAAATGTTTCCCTAATGGCAACAAATTCCGTAGATAAATCAGATATTGAAGTTGCGGAAGATATGAACAAAACTCAAAATCATAAAACCCAATCTAATAAAGATGAAACAAGTGACGAAACAGCGAAGAAGCCTACACATAATTCAGCTATCAAGACCAATGAAGAAGATTCAAATATGAATGAGAATATATCAGATATATCGGTAAAACAACAAGAAGTCTTATTAACAAAAGCCCCTGAAAGCAATGAGTGCTCCRAAACTCCAAAGTTGGAAGAAAGTGTGAATAAAAATAGTCTTGATTTTAAAGAGACCAAAAGTGTAGAAAATTCAAATGATTTAAATGAATTTGAAGATTCGCAAGATGCTGTCGAGGATGACGAAAGTCAGAAGGGAGAAGCATCAACAGCTGACGATGACAACAGTCTTTCGCCTTCAACACAATCGCAATCACCACCACTTAGAGATACAATAATTGCGACATCAAGTGCATCCATTGCTTCAGCAATTGGGGTAGCAGCTTCCGTAGTTGTGGCGGCTGCCGGTATAAGAGCTTCTATTCCAGATACAATCTTATCGCCACCCAAGTCAGAAACACAAACAGATGATGCAAACACCGCTACATCATCCTCATCACCAGCATCGGATTCTCAGCTCTCGCCGATGATTACCGAGGCCTCTATTGCGAGCAGTGCAGCACTTACCCCAACTACACCACCAGAAGCACCAGAAATGTCTGTCTCAAATAATAGTGGAGAGTCAACACCGTCTAAGACAGCTACCAAGAGGGGTGCCCCTGATATTGACTCAGTTGCGGAAGGTGGTGGCAAACGCGTTATACAACCGATTAATCTTGTTGCAAATGGCACCATACCCAAATCTAGTGGGAAACCGCTAATGTCGGCCATGAATAAAAAATTGAAAGAAAAAACTATACGTGCACCACGACAAAGGAAACAAAAATCTACGTTGCCTATGTACGAAAGCGAGGTAATAAATTGAATTTATTATTTGTATTATTTACATGATTATTTGATTCCCGTATATTTAATTTTATCACAGATAAGCGACAATAAAACGGGAATTAAATTATGTATAAAGAAATCAGATTCGACCGGCAATTTGGCTGCTTCAACAGGTATTTTAGTACCAACCGTCACAGCGAAATTGGTGGAGACTACAACAACTACTGCTCCTAAGCAGACGCGCAAACGTTCCCGCAAAACGAAATCAAAGGCACGCGTCGATGACGACGAAAGTGAGCCTGAGGTAACGACGGTAAAGCGCGGGAAGAATAAGGCCAGCAATGCAGAACGTCAGAAGAAAGTCTCTTTTAGTGGCATCGAAGAACAAGGCGAGAAACATCGCGCCACAATTGAGCAAGGCGATTGGGGCGCACGCATCCCACAGGAAATACTTTTTAAGGTGTGCATGAAATTGAAAAACGTTTCAAAAGGAAAGACAACCTCAAATAAAATTATTTTCTAGATTTTTGAAATTCTAGTTGATCGTGAAGGTTGTTTGCCAACACTTTGTCGACTTGGTCGTGTTTGTACACTGTGGCGAAATGTCGCGCTAACGCCATCTTTGTGGAAAACTATGGATCTATCTACGTGGATAAAGGATAAATATCGCACCGAACTCAAGCTAAAATGGTTTGTAGACAATCGATGCAGCGAGTGCACAGAATTGAATGTTGGTAAGTATTCCACATGATGATTCGAAAATAAATCTTTAATCACTATAATCATTTAAGCTAACTGGAAAATGTCAGATATAAACTGCTTTCTAAACAAATTGGCGGTCGGTTGTCCAAATTTAACRAGCATTACTCTGTCAGGTTGGAAAGGTTTCACTTCAGATCATTTGGCTTATTTAGCCGAAAATATGCAAAAACTGGAACGCCTTGATTTGAGTTCTGTTAATGTAAGTTTCWGCGTTTGTAAATCTTTTATTGCGGATCCAAATTTGAAAAGATGCCTTTATTGTTACGACACAGGTGGAAATGAACGCGAGCAAGAGCGCAGTGGGCCCACAATCGCTGTGCAATGCATTACAAATAATGAATAAACGTTTAACGCATCTCTATTTGGCACATAATCGGCTGGCCGGGATCCCACAAATAGTCGCTACTTTGGCTGTAAGCATTTATACTTTTAAMCCCTTCTAATTTTATTAATTGTACAATAATTAAAAAATATTTTGTATACCTTCCGCAGACACATTGCCCCAATTTGGTGAAYTTAGATCTCTCAAATGTTACAACACAAGCGACTTCACACGGCATCTTTCACATTGAAAAGCTTCAGCAYGGCTGCCCGAAATTAAAAGTGCTACGAGTCACGAATTCACACATAACATGGGGGAATGCAACACTGCAAGAAGCGGTATGAGCAAAATATTAATAATCGTTAAACCGATTTCGTTTTATTGAAAGTCGCCATATATTTATAGATGGATTCGCCTGGTTTCCCAGAGCTTGAGGAACTTTCGGTGGCAGCTTTAACGGATGAATGTCGTGTTATCGGTGATGACCATTTGCAGCGCATAYTGAAAACCAGTTCGAAACTGAAGCTCTTGGATGTGCGCGGTTGCGCACGACTCACACACGAAAGTCTTATACGYCTACCAGCATGGGACATCAAGCATTTATTTTTGTCATTTTGCTCAGTGACACGTGATGTGGGGTAATTTGTTAACAACTATTTTTGTTTGGTTTTAAATTCACATTTGTATTCTATATGTAGCTCCGGCCTCGAGTTGATCGCCTCAAAATGGGCTCATAGTCTTATTGAATTAGATTTAGCTTGGGCGAATGTGCAGCAACCACTTGACAATGCATTACGTGCATTGGCCGAAAAGGGCAGCGAATCGCCATTAGCGTAAGTACAATTCAATCTTATTAAAGCTACATGAATGTCCATAAATATATTTTCTCCAATTTGCAGGCATTTGAATCTCTGTGGCTCGTCGGTTTCAGATGAAGCAGTCAAGGAAATACTTGCAAACTGTGCGCACATGAGTTCAATAAATCTGTCATCGTGTCGTGGTTTACCGCGCGGTGTCAAGCGTCTTATGCAAGGTCAGCAAGAGTTACAAGAACTGCGTGAAGTGCTTAAGGTGCAGATGAAAGTGAAATTGCCCGCTCAAATAAAGCAGGAGCAAGAGGAGGAAGAGCGACGGAAGCGCTCCGAACAATGCGGCGCAACTGCTGATGCTGATAGCGGTGGTGGTGGCAGTAATGTTCAATCTAATTGAAATAATGCCGTTACATCACACAAAATTAAAAAGCAAAAACTGTGCGTTAATATGAAAAAATAATGAGTAACAAAAAAAAAAATTATTTTTAACACATGGATTATAAATTTGTAGCTTAAACTAAAACTATGAACGCGAAGAATAACTTCAATTAATATTAGATTTCATTATGGAGTATGACCTTTTCAGTTTTACTATTATTAGCACATTCAAAAGAAGATGTTCTGCTGCTGGTGGCAGAAAGACATTAAATTTACGTATGTATTTTAGCATTAATGCGTGCAAATTTTTATATATGTAATTTTTTGTGCATCACACAGGTAGCTTCCAAATTAAACACGGAATTGTGTAACTATTATGTCATTTGGCACTACTTTATAACTTAACTTTTATATATTCCTACATTTAAGTAAGACTTTAAGTCACCGCTTAATACTTGATTTCTATTTTTATTTGGTCACATTCATACAATTATATATACATTTGCAATATACATTTACACCTATAGTCACTGGAATCCCCGCTAGTGTTAATTTTTTAGTAATACAATTTGGAAATGTTTAAGAAAAGAATGTATTAAGTTTCGTTTACAGTTATAATTGCTACGAATTTGCAGTGAAATTAAAATATTTTTTGTTACTTTAAAAAATATATGTAAAAACGTAAACATTGCAAAGAAAATTATGTTATTACATGTAAAATATTAAGATTAAATTAAGCGAAAATATCGATTTATTCGATAAAAATTATCGAACGTTATGAAATCAGTCAGTTATTTACATATATTCTATGATTAAATTGTWCTCTATACACACATATAATTTTAATTATATTATATTTTCTATATATGAGAATCCTTTGCAATTTATAAAAAAAAAGTATATGCAAAAACTCACCTCAAAATAAATAAATAAACGGAATGTTTAACAAAAGWTAATTTGTATGATTTTCTCAAATAATATTTAGTTAGTTTATTGAAAAATAACAATCCAGAAGTTGTATTTGAATTGAAAATTGTATAACTATCTAACTTGCTGAGCGCGTGAGCACAATATAATAAATCTTGTTTATAAATTAARTTGTGGTTAGGTCAATAGCCATAAACTCATTTCAAGTTTTAATTTATAAAATGACGACAGCCTGCAGTACCACTCTTTCTCTAAATCGTCGGGCTTACATAATATTTGCTTTAATTGTTGTAATTTAAAAATTAAAATCTTGTCTATGTATTTCAAAATAGTTCATGAAAACATTTAAATCAAATAACAAATTTTGAAATTTTCACAAAAATGGCCATTACGAGTAAAACAGTATAACTTTTTTAATAAACATATGTAATTACTTCGCTTTTATAAACCTTTAGTAAACATCAACCAAATGAAATGATGTTTGAGATTTTTTGTTTCCATAAAATGAAATGCATTAATTTACATTTTATTAAATAGAAGTATGTTTGAGCTGAAGACATGTCTTAAGCGGAAAGATAAAATGTAATATTCCACAAGTGCTTGGAATTTGTAAATAAAACAAAAGCAAGTGATGCAAATAGTGCAATTTTCAAAATTAAATCCACAATCTGCTTCTCTAGTTTTATGATTTTGTTTTACACAATCAACAATTGTATTAATAATAAAAAAATTGTTAAACCTTAATATTAATATTGAATAAGCAATTAAKAATTAAAAGTGCATAATATTTAATTTAAATAAAAGAAACATTTTAAATACAATTTCACAAGTTTTATTTAATGGTAATTGCCTGTGTAAACTACTACACTTCCAACCATCGCTACATGTTTTTTATTTAATTTGTTCCGATGTTGTTGTAACGCCAGAAAACATTCCAAATGCTGTTTAAGAAGGTTGCCGATTTTACTGTACTTGGCTGTATAAGAATCYGGTTCCGTTCCGATTGCGTAAACCCGTCTGTCGTGGGTTCACCGTTGCCATACTAAATCCACCTTTTTTGGACAATTAAGTAGAACAAAGTTAAACTGATTTTCAAAATTAAAACTCTTTTGTACAAATCCCTTGTGATGAATTAGCAAACTGCTTTATTTGATAGTCTTTAAAATTCTCTATTGGAGGCATTGCGTAAGTACAAACACTTGAATTCTAAATTTAACATGGAATTAAAAAATACAGACTAAAACTATAACTATATAATTGTACGTATAAAATCGTACATATATAAATATATATATATATGTTTGTACATGTATAAACGTGTGTGTTGGTATGGTTTGACTATAATATTATATTTCCAGTAATTCATTTACGGTAGATTAAAAATCCCAGTTCCAATCATTGCTGTGTACATTCATCTCACTCAAGTCGGTGCAAAGTACCAAGCTTTCATCTATAGTGATAAATAGGATTTTTCCTGTGTTCTACTTAAGTGCTTTTGGTAACATTACATACCTCTTATCTGTGAATAGTCCTTCGTCTCTAAACCGAAGCGTTGCAATTGATCTAGAATGCTTGTGTGCCGACATTGCTTGAAAAAGGAATGACTCAGGAGCTGTAATGCCGACCAACGACTGGACGGTTTTTTCTCCATACAAATTTCTGTAAATTGATGGAACTCATCAGAGAATACACGTTGACTGTAAATTTGCTGTGCCTGCCTAATAGAGTCTGAATCAGTACTGGTGACGATTTCTAAAATTTAATATAAGCAGAAAAAAATAGTGAAAACAGAATGCAAATATGTCTTATATGATTGCTTACCTATCATTTCTTCGTTTGCAGGACATGTAGAACGATCTAATAAAGTGGGCACATTGCCGCGTACTTTCTCAGTAAACATAAAGGTTGGTTGTGCATCAGCAAAGGGTTCTACGCCATTCGCTAGTTCACAGCACGTTATACCAATTGAGTAAATATCCGATTTCTCTGTGTAGCCAATTATGTTTTGTTCTAGCACTTCTGGTGCTAGCCAATTTAAACTACGTGCACTGCAGGGTGCTAAGTGATGCAAGGATGCAATGCGTTCACCATGCCCTACAATGCTGGTACATTCACGGAAACCAGCTAATACCGCTTTTGTTTGATTGAGTAATATATGGCTGGCACGTATCGAGCGATGTACATAACCACGACGATGTAGGTACTCGAGCCCGGAGAGTACATCACGCATTATCAAAGCAACAAAAATTTCAGGAAATCCTAATTCAGAACACTATTAAAGAAGTATTGTTTATATGGTAAGCTTTGCTAGCCACTTACCCGCCCGAAAACAATTAGCAATGGTGTCTTTGCAGCTGCCAAAGCACATCAAGGGTGCTATCTGAAAGAGCTCATTTCCATATACGAACGATGTATGGAATGTATGTATGTTAGGATGACTGAACTGACGCATGATAAGCAGTTCATCACGCGCTAAGATGCTCTCTTCTTTACTTGCTTTATCCATTCGATAYTTTTTTACTGCGATATGTTGTCCATTGGGTAAATATTGTGCTAAGTAAACAGTTCCAATACCAGTAAAACATCGTGATAATTCCACTTTCAAATCGTAATCCAAAGGATTGCACCCAAACATTTTGTATGAAATTTTCAAGATCTTTTACAAGCAATATATTGAACAATTAAGTAATTTCTGAGCCCTTTGTAGTTGTTGTTGTTCTCTTTTGCACTTGATATTGGGTTTGATGTTTTCATTGAGCAAAGGCAATAACAAAAATACTTTGTTGTTATTATTATGCTTCTTTATATCTGTCTATGCATTGCCCGGCTCATTTTTTGACTATTGTGAATATTGAATATGACAGAGGAAGCATACAAATTGCAKCAAATGTTTTCTTTTTTCATCTTCCGCAATTTATGATTTGTTAATTGGGAAAATTGTCACCGTATGTGAAAATAAGCACTTATTTTTAAAGAAACACTAGGAAGCATTTTGATTTCGTTGTATAATGGCAGATGCTTGGGATGAAATAAAAGCCGTGAAAAGTAAGCGTCATACACTGCGAGAAAAGTTGGAGAAACGAAAGAAAGAACGTGCCGGTTTACTATCTTCGTCACCAAATAGTGTTGTTGACACAGTTAAGGACTCGCCTAATCCAACAGGGGAATTGGGTTTGTTTGCAATTACAATAACAATTGAACAAACCATTTTATTTTGGTTAATATTTATTACCACAGAAAACGATGCTGAAGCAGAGAAAGCGGTATTGCAGGCGCTCTCCTCCAACACACTTGTGCTTCCTATCATTTCAACACAACTATTGGAAAAAGTTGCTACATTTTTGGATAAAGCACCTGCACAGCATGTAATCAATTACACGCTCAACAAATTGGCTGAGCAAGGTGCAGTTAATATTAAGAGTGTTACAATCGGAAAGGATGTGGGCTGCGAAGTTATTTCGGTGGAAACAAATCTAATTTTAGATTTGTATAAGGAAGTGGTAAATGATGGATACATTGGTATAAAAGAAGAACTGAAGCGGAAATGTAAGTGTTTTCAATAATTACAATAAATGCTTCTTAACCCATAAGCCGTATTATTTAGTCGATGCAAACGATGCGGAGAACAAGGATTGTAACCTTAATAAATCAACAAAAATTGATACGAATACTGGACCACATACCCGTAAAGGAACGGACGGCAGCAGTGTGGATGCTTCTGATGATATAATGGTTCGTATCTGCAAGTTATATTTGTTTTGTATTTATGTCATTTGTAAATCCTTTCACTAGTCTCTGCTCTCCATGCCTTCTACACGCGAGAAGCAAAGTAAACAAGTAGGCGAAGAAATACTCGAATTGCTAACAAAACCAACTGCCAAAGAAAGGTCCGTTGCTGAAAAGTTCAAATCACATGGCGGTGCACAAGTAATGGAATTTTGTCCATATGGCACCAAGGTAGAGTGCCTCAAAGCGCAGCAAGCTACTGCGGAAATGGCCTCGAAAAAGAAACGCGATCGCAAACTCGAAAATGATTCTCCTAGCAAGCTCAGCTCAGAGGCTGATGAATCAAATCCGCAAAGCAATGTCGAAGAAACAACAAATATAGCTGATGCAAATTCAACATCAGATAGTAATGGTAATAACAGCGCAAGAGAAATGGAAAGCGATAATAAGGCTAGCGACTCCGGTGCAGAAGATGGTGAGATCGTTTCTGAAAATTTGAAAGATGTCGAAGCCGATTCACAACAATCAACGGACGAATCAATAGAAACATTGGATACTTGTACGAAATTGCATTTTAAGAAAATCATACAATCACATACCGATGAATCACTGGGTGATTGCAGTTTCCTAAACACATGCTTCCACATGGCTACATGCAAGTGAGTAATGCTCGAAAGAAATTAAWTGAAAATATATATAACTATATTTTTAATTGTTTATAGATATGTACATTATGAGGTTGACACTCTACCCAATATCAACACTAATAAGCCAGTTGATGTTAAAACTAAACTTTGCATTAAGCGTAGCATCGACCCTAGCGTTACATTATATCCGCCACAATGGATACAATGTGATTTGCGTTACCTCGACATGACGGTACTGGGTAAATTTGCTGTTGTAATGGCGGATCCACCTTGGGATATACACATGGAATTGCCGTACGGTTAGTATTTTTATAAAAAAATCCTGAGTTTACATTTTTAATACACATTGAATGAATAATGTAATAGGCACAATGTCGGACGATGAGATGCGTCAGTTGGGCGTGCCAGCACTGCAGGACGATGGACTTATCTTTTTATGGGTAACAGGGCGTGCGATGGAATTAGGACGGGAGTGTTTAAAGCTCTGGGGGTATGTATCGAAATGTTGCGCTTAATAGCTTTTATAATAAAGATTGCTTTTTTTGTATTTTTTGAAGCTACGAACGTGTGGACGAACTCATTTGGGTGAAAACGAACCAATTGCAGCGCATCATACGCACCGGCCGCACCGGACATTGGCTAAATCACGGAAAAGAACATTGTCTGGTGGGCATGAAGGGTAATCCGAAGAATCTTAATCGTGGACTTGATTGTGACGTCATTGTAGCGGAAGTGCGCGCCACTTCACATAAGCCCGATGAAATCTACGGCATAATTGAACGTCTTAGTCCGGGCACACGCAAAATTGAGCTTTTCGGTCGTCCACACAATGTACAACCGAATTGGATTACATTGGGCAATCAATTAGATGGCATACGCTTAGTGGATCCCGAGTTAATAACACAATTTCAGAAGAGATATCCCGACGGAAATTGTATGTCACCACAAACAGCCGCCGTTACAAGTGGTTCAACAGCAAATTCGACAAGTGCTGCGAAAAAGTGAAATGCTTGCAAATTATCGACTTAGCGTTAAACATAMATACATACATATGGTAATCCAATATAAGTAAAAATAAAAATAAATACATACATAGTAATAACAGAACAACATCAAACTACAATGGTCAATTGAAATACTTCATTTAAGTTAACATACCTCATTCGTATTAAATTATTTTTTTTTGTATTCGCTTCTATGAGAATAACTTGTATTAATTTCCGAATATACACTTGTATTACTAAGTTGGTAATGTTTTTATTTAGTTTAMCTACAAAATAATAAAGTAAATGAACGAAAATTTGCATAAAATGTTTTCGGTAGTACTATTGCTGTAAGTACAGAAATGGTTTATTTGAAGATTGATCACTTTCGCCTCCAACTCAATTACCAATTGAAGGGGTTTTTTTTATAGGATAATTTTCAAGATTTCATCTTGAGTTTGGTCGAACAATTTATAGGGCAGCTATATGCTATAGTGATTCGATCTGAAATTTTTTTTGGGGTAAAAAACTTTGCTCAATTTAATGAAAATACCTTGAACAATAAAAAGTTCTGTGTTACCGATCATCGAAATAACAGGTATCTGACTGCGGCGTGCTTTAATGCTGTTGTTGTTGTTGTAACRGTMATCTAGTACCGTCAGCGTAGTAAGGTTGAGTTAAGTTGTCATCGAGGTCATCCAACAGTAGGTCCGCTGTTGCTGTTTCGTCGAGGTCAGACCATAGAGAGAGGGTTATCTGACATATACGGTTAGCTGGGCAAGCAAAGAGGTGTTTRCAGTCATGCGGCGACTCGTTGCATGCTGAACATATATTTGTTTRGTATGTTGGTGTTGATTATGGATAAGTAGCAGTTTAACCGGCTGCAGTATCCAGAGCGAAGCTGCGCAAGAGGCGTGCTTTAAACGATGTGCTCGCAATCTTGCTACAAAATCTTATGCCAATTCACTAGAAGTTTAAATCCATCTAAGCGCCTGACAATATTTTAACATCGCAAGTGAGATGATTCTCGCCTGTCTGATATTTTTTTGTTGAAAAAATTAAAAACATATCGATTGCCATTCATTCAGTGCTGAAATATAGTTGCCAAATGCAGTTATTGTAATTTTTATAGCCTCTGTGTTGATTGGCTCTGTGAGTTAAATTTGTTGTTGTACTGTGGTTTCAACTTTATGAAAAAACACCTTGTGGCTAGATAAAAACTCATTTTAATATTTGCTTCTCATTTCGATTTATTAATTGGAAGAATCGATAATTTCTTGAACTCGTGAAGCCGATTATTTTGTGTTTTTCTTTTATAATAAAGTTCATTTAAATTAAATTACAATATAAGTATATATATATATATATATATATAAGTAAATATGTAAGTGTATTTGTATGTGAATCTGTGAAGCAAACACATACAAAACATAAGGAGTACTTAATTTAAAAAAAATGCCCGCATATGCCGCTCCCGACCCGACGAATTACAGTTGGCGCTTTTCCAAGCGCGCAGCAGCCAAACAGTTCTTCAGTTTTATGTATTACTTATTTTATGATTTACAAAAATAATTTTATTTATGTGGTTAATATAGATTACATATGTATGTATGCATATTTGCAATTGTTTATATAATATTGGTATTGCTATCCGATTGTTTTCCAAATGATGCTCGTCGTCATTAGTTCAATGTTAAAATTATTTTATTACTATTTATAGAGTATACGTATGTATATATAAATGTAGATACAATATTACAAATGTGTAATATAATGATGACAGCGCTAAATTATGGATATATGCGGTAAACGAATCGCAGATATCATCGAGGTGCATTAAACAATTTTTTAAGGTTAGTAAATATGTATTTACAAACAAAAACATGTCATTTATGAAACGATATACATATGCGTATGTACGCTCCTTTACATAAATTATGTATACTCTTTTTAAATAAGCATTAAACTAAAGTTCTTACAATTTTTCTTACAATGGATTTTTCGATGTTTTTTCACGTTAAAATAAAATTTTTCATAGTAGTTGCAAATAATTTTCAAATCTTTTCCTCACAAAGAATTTCCACAAAACAATTTCTCTGGCGCCGGTTAAAGCGCGTTCGCCAACGAAACTTAACAAATTAGAATGTTTTGTACAATTTTCTAGATGGATGGAGTGTGGAACGCGAGTGTAGTGGGATCTTATCATAGTAGAATATTACAAGAGTTCCTATTGGAAACGCTGCGYGATTCTATACAGCTTTACGGTSTATGTGTTGCATTGTATGCCTGTATGCTTGCGTATTATCCCGCTAGTTTAACATTAGTAACGCACATGCGTACCGGCGCTGTGCAGTGCTTTGAGCACGACAAAACCCAGTACGGTGGCGGCGGCAACACCTAAACCGGCTTTCCACCAAAGTGTCGGATCCTCTGTCATCAAACCGAACTGACGTAGATGTCTATTTGTGAGCGGATGGTTGTAACGCGCGTTGAAAGAACACAAAAATGTAAATATTAGTTAAATTGAAATATAAATGGTTGTATTTATAAACATGCAATCAAATTTTAAGTTCTACTACAACTGAAGCAAAAACGCTTAGTAAGTTGTTGATGCATCTCAAAAGTATATAAAAAATTATTAAAGGCTCAAAAAATCGAGATCGAAAATKTAGAATGTACCTAAAATATTTACAATAATTAAGGGCGGTGTTTAGTGCGTGTAGAAAATGTGGGGGACAAAGGGGTTACAGGAGTAGAAGGAAATGTGCAAAGTAAATGTACTATAAATGCATTAAAGTTTCGGCAGGAAGAGTTTTTGTGAAGAAAAAAAAAACAATTAAGTTGTCGAGTCCTAATTTACAGGCGAGCTGTTTGGACGGAATCGGACCAAGAAAAGTGATGTTGGATATACATATATATATTGTATTATAGATAGCACACAAAAACATGATACTGTTCGTCAGTTTGTATGGCCGCTATATGTTGCTTGATCTCAACAATTTCMTTGGAGATTCTAACGTTGCCTTGGAAATAATCCATGTCCAATTTTGTGGATATTTCTTGTCAAATAAAAAGGTTTTCCATACCAGAACATGATTTTAATCGTTCATTTTTCAAACTTAATCAATAATAATATATAATTATATATTTTCCTTAATTATTCAATAACCTGCCACCACCTGAATGCATTTAATTATAAAACTTGCTATGAGTAAATAAGGTGCGCACTTGGATGGATGAGTGAAATACACAAATAACAAATAAGTTGAAACAAAATACGAAAGTAGTATGTTTTTACCAAAGAGTATRAATATTCAATGCACAAATATAAATGTTTATATAACCATACGATCATGTGCATACACTAACTATATGACGGAAAACATAAATGTGCAAAAACTCGCCAATCGCTTAAATAACATAAAAAATCATTGAAAAAGTAGTAATTTTAGTTTAAAAGAATATACAATTTTTTGTTTTAAAATAGTGATAGATATATTATAATATCTACGATTAAACATGTACTATAAGTTACTAATTATGTTGCTATTATTATTATTATTGGTATTTTGCTGTAAGGCTRTGCATATTTGACTATGGTGTATAGCTTTTTACAAAAAATATTTGCTCGAAAAGAGAAAAAATAAACACAATGTATGGATAGTACGATATTAGTTGCTCGTTCGGCTGTTTAAATGGCATTAAGAAGATTCACACTTACGCTGATTCCCACAGCTGTACCAACCTGTGCTTGTAAAAGAGTATCCATGCGGCTTGAAAGCGACTGAGATTAACGAGCGTAARCAGTCATTGTTGTTGTTGTAAATTAACGATAACAATTAGGATTTTTACAATTTTTCATTATCATATGATGGTATTTATTTGTTTTTGTGCAACAATCACCACAGCCAAAGCGCAGACAATCAAAATTCAGATTCAGGGGAGTGGTGAGGAGTTTTGARGCGCGTACGCGAGACATTGGAGCATATTCGTTTTTTTTTTGTTTTGTTTTTGATTTATTATTATATTTTAGTTSATGCAGCAGTTAGAAGATAAAGGAAGAATAATATTAAATTTATGTTTATTAATTGAACGATAATTTGTGCATAATTTGTATACATTTTTGGTGTTTAGATAAATATACTATGTTACGAAATTTTGATTTAGTGGAAATTTTAATAAAAAAAAAGATAAATGATAAATATATAATACTGCTAAGGATATTTAAATACTTGTATGGTTAGGTAAGCAAATGGATTTGTTAAATTAAAAAAAAAAAATGATAAGCATTTCGCGTGAGCTGTTATATTTGCAATAAATAAAAAATTAGCTGTGCCTGCAACAACAAATAATTGTTAAATTCAACAAATCTCTATGCACTGTGTTATAAAAAAAGATCTAATTACATATATATATATAACACTAATCCTACAAGTACGATAGTACTACTTCATAAGTAAATAAGCACTTATTAGTGAAGTACTCCAAGAAACACTTGAAACAAATAGAACAGTGGACATTAACCGCTTATAACCACAAACACATAAACAAACATATTCACCCTAACCTAACATATTTGTATTACAAATACCAGAATGAAACGATAAGCAATGCTCCATAGCCAATTCGTGTGTTAAATTTTAAACGTATTGCACATAAAGAAATAACTATGATAGATAATTTTAACGCTTTGTATGCACTACTTACGGGAATGCCGCCATGGTTGCCAATTTCGTGTAAACCTCCTTCTTATTACTCTTCAAGCTGAACAGGTGTGGTGGCAGTAGTTTATATTTGGTACAAAACTCTGACGGTTGCAGTAAGTAATCTTGCCGCCGCTCATCTAAGTCACCTTTGGTGCCAACAATCATCACTGGGATTTTACTCTCCGCATAATATTTGATGTATATGCGTGCAATGTACTCGAACGAACGCGGATTGGATGAATCATACACGAGGCAAGCGACATCACAATTCACCTCCTGCGGCTGCAATGGGTCTAGCGCATGCTTTACGTCTATATCACGTAGTATGAGATGCTTTTCTTGACCATAAACCTATTTTTAATATAAAAATTTATTAAATTTTATGCATTATTGTAAACAATAAATTTTTACCTGCACAGTGTTGACACAATGCACCACATTAGTCTTGAATTCTTTACCAATCAGACTTTTCATGTCCTCTACTAAGAAACCACGGCACAACCCCGTCTTACCAGCGCCTTTCGGACCAATCACATGACACATATACACGGATCGACTACTTTGTCGTTTGGCTAAATCAATACGTCGTTCGCGTGTCACATGTATCGCCGCCAACTGACTTTCGTTCTCATGMACATTGAAGCCCAAATACGCTAAGTATTCTAGTGTTTTTAAGACATCRATAAGCGTCATTAAAGTCCAGCGACACATCCAGCCATGCAACGTCACCCAACCCTGATCGTTGGTGGGGCATGATTTACGTATATCTGTCGAATATGACCAAGGCGCTGATGGGCATGTACTGAAAATCATTTTATGCTCTTCCGGTGATARTGCGCCGTCGCCGTCTTTATCGTAACGTTCGAACAGCGCTGTAAGAAATTGTTGACCGCGATGTGACAACTCAGTGCTACTACCRGGTGGTATTTTCAAAGTTGGCCGCAAATAATCCTTACACATTTCTAACTGTTCATTGTAACCGAAGCGACGTAGCACAGCCCATGTGGTCTCATTACGTCCGCGCTGTATGAACAAACAGTGCAGAAAAAGAAAGCCCTTAAGTGTAACTGCATCGTGGAAGATGCCATCTGGAATATTCTTCTGTATAACAACTTTGACTTCGTCTAGTATTTGTGGCTGTAGGGGTGTGTTGAAACAACGACGTTGAAACAAGTTCAATTCATAATCATTGAGCAGATTGTCACCATCGATATCACATATTTTGAATATGCGAACAAGTGATTTCTTGCAAGCCGGCGTAAGCTGAAAAAAAAACGAGTTTTTTAATTAGCATGTTTGTAAAGGAGAAAAATAAAGACTGTTGCAATTGTGCATCGAAACTTCTGGATGTATAATATATAATTTTACATAAAAAAAATGTTTGCACACATCAAATATTACATCCTGCAAATCTGCTTATTATTTATATGTATTACTGGACTTACATCTTGCTCTTCCATTATATAAAGCGGTGAAGTTGGATGTAGAACAGCCTTTTGCGCATAGTAGAACATTTCGGAAATATTATGTAGCGTTTTGGCAGAGCATTCCACACAGCTTTCAACCTCGGGAAAGTCTTCCATTATTGTCAACACACTCTAAAAATAAAACAAAAAAATTATATAAAAAGTCAATATTCACAATTTAATAGACTTACATCTATGGTTGAATACTCGATCAGATCAACTTTATTGCCAACCAGCACCACAGGCTTACGTTGTTGGTCCTCTCCAATTGCGGTTCGTATTAAAGGCAGCCAGTGCGATGTTATGCGATCAAGTGAATCTTCATCTTCCACACTATACACAATACATACAACGTGTGCTTTGACGATCTCCTCGTTCAGAGTTTCATCTGTTTGCTCGGTGTCTTAAAAAATATAATTCACTTAATTATTGAATGATAATATTTATGTTGTACTCAAGTACTTGAATAGTCGACAATATTCGTAGGCACCTGTTCAGGTGTTACATTAGCGGGTATTGTTATCTCCTCAGCTTTTGGAGGAACATCTTCAGGAAATTCTTCGCTTACAAGTGAAAGTATAAGTGATGTTTTACCCACACCRGGATCGCCAACCAACAATATGCGAACATTTTTTCGCTGAGCGGCGTTGTATTGGACCATAATTACGTTTTTGGTAAGTTGTATTCACTGGCAGGGAAGTGTTGGCAAATAACGTCTGTGTTTAGTATTGCAATGTGTTTCTTAAATCTGTGTTGTTAATGCGAATGCTACCATAAGTTATTTTGTACACTACTCATCTATGCCGAGCGAACTTGAGCAATGCTCACTGCAAAAAATTCAAGAATATATACATGTTATGTATGTGATACTTAAATATATCTGTAATGAAAAATAGTGTATTTGCTATAGAAGATTCTTAAAGTAATCAATATCAAGTATATTACTAAACAAGTATATCACACGGTATACTTATCAAATCGACAAACAAATTCAAAAACTTTCAGCAAAAAAAATATTTTACACAGCAACCTGACATGGGTTAATTTTTACAATTTCTCCTTTTATTATGCTAAATGGTTGGTACATACACACTACGTAAAACTACTTTTAGTTTCTTGTTTTGATTTTTCACACCTTTATAAGTTTTTAGTTCACTGACTCGAAAAGCTATAAAAAAAATGGAGAAACTCGATTTTCATATCTTCACATGGAGCACAAATTCATTTCACACCCGTTGGGAGTGTGAAWACTGAGTAAAATCAATAAATGCAATAACATAATATGCAATTCTGTGCAATGCTTTTTGAAAAATGTATGTGATTATTTGCACGTCACTCAAATCTGAAACTATTGCTAATCCATTAGCCAGCGCACTGTAGGGGGCCTAATGAAGTTTTTTTGTCAAAAAAGAAAAACACAGACTTCTGRCGTCACTTTGTTTTATCACAGGAATACTTCTTCGCAGGAGGCAGTTTTCGCAGCCTGTCTGTTTACTTTTCCTGGTAAGCATCACATACATTACAACATATAATAAACACAACCACCATTATCAACAAGACGACTTTTCAATCGCTTTAATTTCCGTATAGCCTGATTTTTGCAAGTCGGTATTTATCGCACGTTGTCACATGGGTGCAGTATTAAATGAAAATTCCCATTATATCACAATTTAATAATTATTGAAAATGATACACAATATCAATATATTAAGTAATTAATTGCTTTTTCATCCATAAAATAATTACATAAACCATACAAAAGTAAAATTTGCACACCAACCTTTTCTTCTCCAGATCAAAATTCGTTTGTTCGGCAACGTGAACGTGTGTTCAATGAATGAATAGATTACTTGACATTTATTATTGTGAATAGTTACGTTGTCAATTACGTGCAGTGCTGTCTGTTTGTTTAACCATACCTGTGTCAGAAAACCGAATATTAAAATAATTTTTATTAATTAAAATGCCAATTACTTAAAGTTATACGCAAATCAATAAAAAAAAAATAAAAGAAATAAAACTGATTCGATAATAGATAGGTAAAAAAAAAAAATGTATTTAAAGTATAATTTCCATTTTTTATTTTTCTTTGACTCCGAGTTTTTTTTTTCTAATCCTTTTAAGACATAATACATCTGTTTTGTTATACATTTATGTATTGATGTGTATACAGCATATTTATAGAAATTAATTAGCAAGTTTTAACTTTAAACTTTATTTTTACCAGACTCAAATTACAAATATTTTTAACATACTAATTATACAATTTCCACGACCAAAGGCTTGTCCAAATATAAACACGGATTTCAAGCAATAGGGTGCGGCACTGTATTTTACATATTCCACTTCAATCGCAAAATTCCCGTTGGTGTATTGAACTTTTAATTGCTGCATAAAAAAATGAGATGAAAATCGTTGCCTAAAATTAGATTTGTCCCATTGATTGAATGAGCATCAAAACATTCACCGATCACGCTATTCTTGTTTAATTCTTTGTAACCAGTTTGTCACAATCAGTAAAATAGTCAGTACTCAGCTTAACCAAAACTGCTCCCGAAGCCAGACCCGCAATGGTAGCAACTGCTGCGTTATCTCTTGGCAGTATCGATCTCATTAAAGCCCAAGCGAGCACTGAACCCATGCTGAAGAGTGAACCACCTAACATGGCATATAGACCGCGTCGGGAATTCGGCACACTACGCAGATGTGGCCGTCCATATATGTAAAATGCCGTACCAGTTAATGTGCTCAGTAATAGCACATTGGTCAAATCCTTTTTGGGTAGGACTTTTGAAATGAGTCCCGGATTCATTACGTTTACGGCTAGTGCTGAGTACGATACTACGCCATGTAGTGGTATGTAATAGTAGAATACGTTCTGTTTGGTGAATGGTTTGAGTCCGATTTTGTCACACAGTGTGCAAACTGCATTCTGGTTACTTGCTCCCTCGCTGGCCATTGTTTTGTGCTGCTGCTTTACTTGTTGCGTATTACTTTATTTAAAGCTGATACGCGTTAATAAAATATATAATATTCGTGGTTGAAAATGCGATAATTTCGTAAGTTCGTCTACCACCGGTGAATTCACACAAATGTCATTGCTTGTTATATAAAGGAGAGGTTGTGTCATAGCTAGACGTCACTTTTATTTTCGCTCTCATTTGTGATGTAATGTTTTCGGTTGTCGATAAGTAATCGGAACTTTGTAATAGAGTACTTTTGCCGATTACAAGTACTTTTTTAATTACATAAGTTTACAGTTATTTTATGATGTTAGACAGTTTATTGCAAATTTGTCATTACCAAAATTGAAAATGATATTAAAAATTCCTAACAATAAGAATTTTTTGTATTATAGAAAGACCTATTAGCACAAGTCACAAATTTTGATTAGTACTTTTAATATAATTTTTTACAGTAAAACTGAAAGCCAGTAAATACACTGTGTATCAATTTTGTTTGTTTTTAAATTGCTTMAACTGGTATCTTCTTGTAAGAGAAAAAACCTACATTACTGCATATATAATTAATTCTTATCGTTTATTATTAAAGTATATGAATTGCAACACAGTTGTGATTGAAAAACGTTTTATTTCATTTACACTTATATGTAATAAAAAAAACGCCATTTTTTGAAATTATATCACCATCGTTTCCGTACCAACAGCATATACATTTGTATATTTAAAAATTAATTAGGACTATAAGGTTTAACCAAGTTTTCTGAAAAATTCTTAATATTCTCTACACCTCGAACTTCCTTTTCGAGTAGAGGTAATTTTGTCACATGGAAATCTTCATACAGGTCRGCAATTTGATCCAGATACTTTTCTTGTATCTAAAATATTAAAAAGTTAAAAAAGAAATCAGAATATAATGCAAAATACCATACCTTATATCTCGCAGCACACATTCCACATGGTTCCTGGTTTTGTTTTTTGAATAGTAGTTGATTGACTATGATATTGTGTGTATCTATGCCACATTTTGTCAGTTCTTGCACAAGTCGTTCGGTTTCATATAATGAAAGGAATTCAGCGATGCAGACACAAACGAATGTAGCTTGATCCTATACATTTAGCGGTTAGAGAATTTGAACTGATGTTTAGTAATGAAAATACTTACTGGATTTCTAAATTGCTCATTCACTTGTCTTATGATTTTCAACATTTCATCRAGCTTTTGTGTTAGCGAGTCGGCGTTAAAATCTGCCATACCTAGTATGCTACCAAATTGTGAGATAAAGGGAGCAATTTTCATTTTCAAACGCAGCAGTTTGCCTAATCCCTTCTCGACGACTTGCGGGAAAGAAAGCAGACGTAATGTGTGCCCCGTTGGCGCCGTATCAAAGATGACCACTGAAAAGTTCATTGCTTTGACAAGTCTATAATTTGTAGTAAATAAAGTAGAGTATATGTTTATGAGGAACATGCACATTTATAATTTCGGGTTAAATTTTTGTACTCACTTCATTACTTCTGCATAGCTCATAGCTTCATCTATACCAGGCAGAGCGTTTATTACTTCATGTAGCACACCTTTGCTCAAATGCAGACCTTCATTTTCGCCCTCGAAATATTCATCCGGTAATTCGTTTAGACCCGCATTTGGATCAATTTCCATTGCATATAAATTTGTGAAGCCATTTACCTGCATTCCATTTAATTAATTGTTGAAATAAAATGTAGCATATTATAATATATTTTGCATACCTTTGTTGGAACTTTTGTGAATTTCTGATCGAAAGCGTCTGAAATGTTATGAGCTGGATCTGTCGAAATGATCAAGACTGACTCACGCACTGTGGCCATTTGTACGGCTAAGCTGCAGCTGTTTATTGTATGTGGGGCAATTAAAAAGATATGAAAGTGTTTTTGAATTAAAACAATTTTACTTTTAATCAAATGATATTACAAAAAAAAATAAAAATAATGGCATAGTTTACCTGCATGTTGTTTTACCAACACCACCTTTGCCGCCCACAAATATCCACTTCAAAGATGATTGCTCGACGATATTACGCAAGCTTGGCTCCATTGGTTCAAAGTCATCACCCATCTTAATTATACAAATTTGGCAAAGGGCACAAATCAATTAAATATTATTTATTGTCGACTTTAAATAAAATTCGCCAGAATGACGAAAATGKGTCGGTAAATGTCAGATGTCAAATTGCTTTTTCATATGTTGCTTTTCCGTGTAAAAAAATCATTCACAATAGTTTTTGTCAAATAATAATGGTGGTATTCATTTCATTTATTATTATTACGTAAGAARATGGAGTCATGGACTAAGCATCCTCACGTTAGCCAGAAAACATCCGTTTGAAGACGAGCTAAAGTGAGAAGCCGAAACTTCCCCTCCACAGTCTGAGCTGCAGGATTCGCTGTATAGTGGCGAGGTTGCGATCTGTGCCTTCCTAGACATTGAGGGTGCCTTTGATAACGCATCTCACACTAGCGTGGTCAAGGCACTCCAGAGAAGGAACGTAACCACCCCGATACGCAGATGGATAGAAGCCCTTCTGCGTACTAGGGTAGCAGAAACAACTACGGGAGAAAGTAAGATTCGTCTTGACACCACAAGGGGCTGCCCACAGGGTGGAGTACTATCCCCTCTGCTTTGGAGTCTGATAGTAGATGAACTACTCGAGCTGCTCATCAGCAATGGAATCCGCGGTCAAGGGTACGCGGACGACATTGTCATAATGGCGAGAGGTAGATTTGAGAACACTCTCTGTGACCTTGTACAAAAGGGCTTAAACTTGGCGAAAGGATGATGCAACACAGTAGGGCTAAATATCAACCCAGCAAAAACCACCGTGATCCCATTCACTAAGCGGAGATCTCTTCCGGGCCTGAGGTCCCTAAAAATTGAAGGCACAGAGGTGGAAACGTCTAAGTAGGTCAAATTCCTTGGCYTCACCTTAGACTCGTCATTAGGGTGGAGTARGCATTTGGACTTAACGCTGTCCAAAGCAAGGAGAACACTTATGATTTGCAGACGCCTTTCCGGCAGATCATGGGGATGCAAGCCAAGTATCATCAGATGGCTGTATACCATGAAAGTGAGGCCTATCGTAACCTATGGAGCGGTTGCCTGCGCACATGCCCCACGGTGGCATTGGAAGTCATACCAGAGCTCACACCGCTGCATCAGGTGATCAAGCTAGCAGCAAAACACACCATGCTGCTAATGTCAGCAGAAGGCTGTGGAAGGGGGAAGGTAATGTCCTCTAGACAGATGGACTCACTAGCGGAAAGCACATCGCACGGCACTGGCGGCAGGTAGCAAGCATGCGTCACGCCAAGCTGCTCCTGGAGGATACAATCTCTCCAGGTTTAAATAATTAATTCACCTCCTCCGAGGAAAATTTCGTCTCCTCGTCGCAATCTACACCTGTCACTTATACACATCTAGATGTGTATAAGAGACAGGTAAATAATTAATTCACCTCCTCCGAGGAAAATTTCGTCTCCTCGTCGCAATCTACACAGGGCACTGTAAGCTCACGAAATACCAACACGAATTTCCAACATGGGCATGGTCTCCTGTGCTAACTGCCGGTTCTGCGACCTAGAACAGGAAACACCAGCACACCTAATCCTGGATTGCACAGCAACCTATGGAAACAGGCTCAAGGCCCTGGATTCTGTCTACATCAGCAGGGATCACATCACCTCACTAGCGTCCGGCAAACTCCTGGAACTATTCAGGCTGCTGGGGCCCTGGGAGGTCATGTGATTAGGAGAGGGCACAATAGACCCTAGGTCGCGGTGCATTACCTCAATAACATTACCTATCTATCTCCCCTCCACAGGGTTGTGCGCTGGTTTTGTGACCCTYCACGTAAAAAAACACTACCAATGAAAAAGCGTTAACAGCC